CCCGGACATTGCCTTTAAAGAAAACAGGAAACATTTAGGCTCAAAGACAAGGAAACTTTCAACCAAAGAATTTGCAAACAAACTTGGAAACTTCTTCGATGGGTTTGAAGAGAATCGATTCCTTTGATCTTATCAAGCCATCAAGGTCTCTGCACTTCAGCAGCAATGCCATGGTGTCCCTGAAATTCGCCTAACCATATTCAGTCATTGAAATAGCGCAACAGGAATCACCTGACAGAATTATCAAACGGAATGGCGGTGCGGAGCTGCTTCAACACTAACGCTGACTTCGTCTTCTCTATCTCTTTCACCTGAAAAAAAGAAAAAGAAAAAATAAAAACACAAGAACAAGGCTTAGCACCTTTCTTTGTAGACCAACAACATCAAGCTTTCCCCAATTCAACGATAGGGGATCTGCAACAAAATAAAACTGAATCGGCGAATTTCCTCCAAGCATGATCAATCTTACCTCTTATTCTGGTCTTTTCCATCATATAAATATAGTTTCCACACTTTGCTATCGATGGCAGAAGTCGCATTAGAAAAGAAGGACAGAGATCCTCTATAAGAACATAGTCCTTCGAATCAAGTCTGTAAATTACGAATGAAAAGATTTGAATGTGGTAAGATGGCGATTACCCACCGTATCGTGGACGAAGTGACTATTTTCTGCACATATGATGAATTCAGCGCTTCAGTAGGCCAAATCATGAACTGAAAAATGAATTATGTGCATCGATACACAGCTGTGAAAACTATTGTATATCGATAAAATGCTACTGGATACCTCTAATTCACAGTCGTCCACCAGCCCCTGTTCAACCCACATGCCTACCCTGTTAGCAAACATTTTCCAGGCAACCTAAATACTTTTGGAGAAAGTCAAATTTTGTACAAAAAGAAAAACCAAAGACAAGGGAGATACCTCGAATATTTCGGTGAGATCACGAATATCCTTGGCAATGATAGCTCCTTCTCGTGCACGATGCAGCATGGTCAGTACTTGTCCACCAATAAGGGCCTCCTGCACATAGATACTGATGCATTTGAACACCAACAAAGTGATTCTACCTTCTTCATGGTCTTGACTATCTCAGCATACACTTTGATAGACGTTTTGACCGTCGAAACATTGCGACTAAGCGTATTCAGTCCATAGTCTGCCAACTGCAATATGCTTATTGTCATCTTGTGCTCAAAGGCAGTGTCTGGGCACTCGATCTTGAGATTTTGTGCTTACCCGGGCCTATTCAC